GTGTACGGGTTCTGGGAAGTCGGGGGGGGGGAAGGAGGAGGGGGGGGGGGGGGTGGAGGGAGGGAGGGGTACACACAACAAAAAAAAATTGTACTTCAATGTTTTAATGATTGACAAATGATGACATATTTGTGTTTTTTTTAAAGAAAAATAAAAAAGTTCTGTTCGAAGAATAGAAAATACTCTGGTTTTCCTATTCTGCTGCTTTGAGGCTCAGTTTAAGAAGGTAGGATGTCCTCGGGCTTAAGGAAGTAGATTTTATTCTAATTTGTCTGGCTAGTAGTATGAAATAATAAATTTGTGTGGCTGCAACCTAGCTGATAGGTTTTACATTCTAATGTTCTCTGCTCTGTAAGCAAATAGCACTTTCCCCCAATGTAGCAAAAAAAGGGGAATAAACACTATTGGCAAAATAGCTGAGGTTCTGAGCCAGCTGATGCTGGTTGAATAGTGGTTCGTCCATTCCCTTGCCACAAAGCAGAATTCTTCATTACATTCCTTAGCATAGGTTGTTTAAGATGGATAGCGCACCTTCCCTTTAAGTACAGACCTTTTCTATTTAATGTTTAGATGTAAAGGCCAAACTCTGCTCGGATTCTTCCTTCTAGAACAGGGGTGTCAAACTGGCGGCCCTTGGGCCAGATATGCCATGCACAGACCACGGCCACCCCAGCTCTGCAAAGGGGGAAAATGTCATGAAACATCACATGATGGCAACATGATGCTGCAAGTTTGACACCTATGTTTTAGAAGAATCACTCATGGATTCTGAAGCTATGAGTTAAACTTATTTTGGAAATAGCGCTAGCACTTAGACTTATATACCACTTCACAGTGCTTTACAGTTCTCTCTAAGCAGTTTAAAGAGTCAGCATATTGCTCCCAACAATCTGGGTCCTTATTAAAATGCATTTAATCAGGATATCAGTTATATTGTCTAATTATATCACAGGTGCTAGAATCTAACAAGGTTCCCCACCCCATAAATTGAAGTATTTTCTACTCCAGGGTTTCATAACCTTAGGAACTTTTAAATGTTTGGATTTCAACTCAAACTTCTGTAGCCACCAAGCCTTGGCATTTAACCAGGAGGCAGAATTTCTACCAAGGCAGAATTAATACTTCCTGTAGGAATCTGGCTGCTTCATTGGGTTCCTACTGGCAGGTCAGAGGCTAAAAAGAGAACAGTTGCATTAGAATGATAAAATACCAGATCAGGAGTAGTGAAGACTCTCCTTAGAAAGCATCTAGAACAGGGCTGTCAAACTCCCAGCCCACAGGCCAGATACATCACGCACTGGCCACGCCCACGCCCAGTTTAGTGAAGGGGAAAAAAGTCCTGATATGTCATGTGACGCCACTGTGATGATGTGAGTTTGACACCCCTGATCTAGAAAGTATTAGCTGGCACATTTTCACCTGTGTGAAGGAACAATAGCTCAATGCACTTTGTAAACTTTAGAAAGGTGACTGGTTTGATTTAGCTTTCTTCCTACCAGAAATTATGCGTGTTTTTATAGGGGGGGCCATCCAATTCTTCAACCATTGCTATTATGGATGGAAGGAGTGTATCCAGGATACTTACAACCATTCGTCTAGTCACCGTTTGAAGTTAAAATGGCATTGAAAAAAGTGATGACTGGTTTTCCACACTTACGACTGTTGCATCTCTGTAACTCTGTGGTCACATGATCAAAATTCAGGTACTTGACAACTAGTATGTATTTATGATAGTTGTACTGTTCTGGGCTCATGTGATCGCCTTTTGGGATCTTCTCAGTCAGCTTCCGACAAGCAAAGTCAATGAGGGAAACCAGATTCACTTAACAACTGCTTGATTCATTTAACAACTGCTCTGATTTGCTTAACAACTGTAGCAAAAGAGGTCATAAGATAGGGCAAGATTCACTTAACGCTTTTGCTTAATCACTGAAATGTTGGGCTCAGTTGTGGTCATAAATTGAGGACTACTGACTACTGACAGTGAGGAATGACATAGGAAGGGATGGACCAGACCAGAGATAAAACAATAGAAGATGGTTTCCTTTTATGATAGATTTTAATTTAATTTAATTTTACAGCTAGACTTATATACCGCTTCATAGGGCTTTCAGCCCTCTCTAAGCGGTTTACAGAGTCAGCATATCGCCCCCACAGTCTGGGTCCTCATTTC